CCAGCTCCACGTGTCACCGAGAAGCTGATGTAGAGAGAGACGAGAGAGACAGAAAGCAAGAGACCAGAGTCCGGGGAAAGTCCTGAGCGCCTGGGGCAGTTATAAAAATGTGACCCCCCGGCGGGCTTCCCAGCCGCCGCGCTCACCTGCCGCGCCCCGCCGTCCGCTCCGTGCGCTCAGCATGCGCCCGCCCGGTGAGTGGGGCGGGAGGGCCGGCTGCGGGCGGGCTGGAGAGATCAGCAGCTCCAGCCGAGGGAGAAGGCAGGGGGCGGGAGGCTTAATTGCTTACCCCTCACCTGCTGAAAAAGCCCGGTGACGAGTGGGAAACTGAGGCCCCAGGGGTGGCTTCTTGCCCAGGGCCCCTCAGCTGCAGCTCTAAGGGGGCAGAGCCCGGCCCACTGCCAAGCGAGGCGCTGTCACCCCGCTGCGTGTGAGTCTGGGCAGGCCCTTCGCCACCGGCCTCAGTTTCCCCCTGCTGAAATGGGGAGTTTTTCTGGCTGAGGGCTGAGTCCAGCACCCTTGCCGGAGCCCATTAGGGGTCCTTGCTGCGAGTTGGCTTCTGACCCTAGGATAGAGCACTGCCTCCCCAGGACCTGATTCATCTCTCAGGTGTTTGAGGAAGGTTCAAGGGGCAGGGCGGCTGGCACCCAGAAGAGGTAGGTGGGTGGAGAGAACCAGAACTGGTGGGAGGCAGAGGCGGGCCAGACCAGGTGGCGGGCCCCAGCCAGCGCTGCATTCCCTTGCAGGCCTCTTCCTTGTGGTCCCCCTGGTCCTACACCTCGGTCTGGCCAGGAGCCTGCCCATAGCCACAGCAGGCCCGGCAATGTTTCCGTGTGTCAGCCACTCCCAGAACCTGCTGAAGACCGTCAGCCACGCGCTTCAGAAGGTGAGCTTTTCAACGTCCTTGTTCCCACTTAGCAGCCTTTCTAGGGAAGGGGCTTCTCCAAGCCCCTAGTCACCTGCAGGGAAACTGTGGAAGTTTATCAGGAGCTGTCAAGAGAGGAAGAGGGAACTTTACAAATGGCCCAACTATTAGCTAAAGAGTCTCCATGAAATTGTGTCTCCAGAGAAAGCAAGAGTGGTAATAAATTATAATGGCATTCCTTTGGGCTGTGTCTACACAGAGGAAAGTGGATATTTACAGTGTTCCCTGGTGCCTGCCAACAGAGATGGAATTAATTGTGTCGGGCCCACACTGTTTCTCTGACACACTTATCAATCCAGGAAGCCGTTACTAGGTGCAGCCTCTGTGCTCTGGGGGCTGCAGAGATGAAGGAGGCTGCCCCTCCCGCGGCTCCCCAGCTTCCAGTCTGGCCACTCGGTGCGTTGTCAGAGCAACGCATTTCAGAGAGCCTGGGACTGTGCACGCCCAGCCTTCATTTTCTAGGCAGAGAATTATCTAATTTTATTTACAGCTTCATTCATTTTTTAGGTTTCATATTTTAATGCAAAAAATATATGTATTTTTTCCCCTTTAAAAGTGCTCTAATAGCTATTGCTTTTGCTGCAAGGGCCAAAGACTGATGTTTTCAAAGATGTTCTTTTGCCTTCCTGCTCTCTAGCAAATCTTTCTTGAATATTTTTAGCTGGTTGTTTTATGAGTATCTTAAAATAAGCTCAATGCCACAAGGCCTTCTGAAAGAAGTCTTTTTCCCCTTATCTTTCATGATGCGCTGCCAATTGCTCCTCACAGCTCAATCAATCTTAATTAAAAAGGCGGCTCACCAAAGGAAAACTGCAGCGGTAAGTGCTGTGATTCCTGAAGAAAGGTTCAATGTGGATAAAATTTAGGAGCTCCAATTTAAATAGATGCTTTATATGAAAAGGCTGACTCTTCCCCCAGATGTAGCACTAAAGGTCAGGAATTGCAGAACTCAGTTGGATGTTTTTTATATCATTCCTGTGTCAAATTTGCCAAAACAAATAGCTGGCTACTGCAGAGAACAGGTGGCCAATGCATGCCATTCACAGGCTGTATCCAGCACATAGATTTGTAGAGTTTGGCCCATATCTTTTATGTTTTATTTTGATTGTTTAGTTTGATGCCATTGAAAAGTGGACCTTTCATAAAAGAACCCAAATTTCCAATTTCTCTTGAAAAGATCTGAAGAACTACGACAGGGCGCCCACATTTCCAAACCTAACTTTTTACAACCCCATCAGTCTAGTGACTGCCCAGGTTTGCTTGAGCACCTCCAGAAACAGGGTATTTGTTTTCTATGGCTGCTGTAACAAATTACCACAAACTTGATGGCTTTAAACAACACAAATTTATTATCTTACATCCCTGGAGGTCAGAAATTCAAAATGGGTCTCACAGGGCTAAAATCAAGGTGTCACCAAAGCTGTAACCCTTCCTGGAGACTAGGGGAGATTCTGTTTTCTTGCCTTTTCCAGTTTCTAGAGGCTGCCCACATCCCTTGGTATGTGGCCCCTTCCATCTTCAAAACCAGCAATGGCCAATTAATTGAGTCTTTCTCATGCTGTATCACTCTGACCTTGACTCTTCTGCCTCCCTCTTCTACTTATAAGGACCCAATGATTACATTGGCCCCACCCAGATGACCCAAGATAACCTCTCAATTTTAAGCCTATCTGATTGGCAACCTTAATTTCATCTGCAACCTTAATCTCCCTTTCCCATGTAGCGTAGCATATTCTCAGGTTCCAGGGATTGGGAGGGGGATATATTTGGTGGTGTGTGTTGGAGACATTAGTCTGCCTACCACAGATGGGGATTTCACTACTGTTCCCAAATATGTTCTGCACTCTCAAGCTCACACAGTTCCCTCTGCCTGAAATTCCCCCACCTCTGCTGATCAACACCCTAACCCTCCTCCTGCAGATGTCCCATCTCTGGTGAGGCCTTTGCTCCCCTTTCCACCCCGTTCTCAGAACCCCCTTACCCTTCTCAGCTCTTCTCTCCAGCTGGCATGTCTCCTAGGCATTTGGGCACCTGCCTGTCCCCTCGGATGAACTTGGAATCCTGGGGGACAGAACACAGTCCTCCTCCTTGTCATGTTCCTTAGTGCCTAGCACAGTGCCTGGCATACACCAGACTTGTTGAGTGGAAAAATGATCTTGATCTTCAATCAAAAAGTCATCAACTTCTTAAGATAAATTTCATTATTATGTTCACCAGTGCTTTCCAAGGCTCTTGTAAGATGACATCTGTGTGTGTGTGTGTGTGTGTGTGTGTGTGTGTGTGTGTGTGTGTACCACATATTTAATTTCAACTTGTCTTTAGGGCTGCATGTTTGTTATATCCATCCAGTGTGACTGTAACAGTTCCCCTTTAGAAAAAGATATTCATAAAACACAGGAGCTTTGGCAAAAGAAAAAAACGTCTTCACCAGGAGCGAGTGTCACAGCGTGGCATAGATGCTGATTAGCACAGCCTGTTGAAATGATTTATAGTGTTTACACAATGGAAAAACATGTCATCCAGGGAAACGAGTCCTAAAAGCAAAGGGACAGGAGGGAGGGACAGTATCAATGACCTGTTTCTTTTTGTGTTCTAAAGACCTTGACTTTATTACAGGTCAAAGGAATAGAGGCCAAGGGAAGCCAGCTCTGGCTTTGTTGGCACCCCAGGGTATGGGGACCCAGGTACCTTATTAATATTATAGCCGGGGTTTCTCCTTATGATTTTTACAGGCCAAACAAACTCTAGAATTCTACTCCTGCACTTCTGAAGAGATCGATCATGAAGATATCACAAAAGATAGAACCAGCACGGTAGAGGCCTGCTTACCACTGGAATTAGCCACGGTACGGACATATCTCCCAAAGCACGTCATACAATTAAAATCCATGTATCCTGGCTTCATCTTCTTATAAAAATGTGCATGTTTCTGGTCTCTACCATCATGGAACTTGAACAGGTCCCACTTCAAAGTTAGATTTGAAAAAAATTTATAAAAAGAGATATGGTTTTTCACAATGTGAATATATTTACCACCACTGAACTTAACAACTGTTACGATGGGCCCTGGCTGGTTTGCTCAGTGGTTAGAGCGTCGGCCTGTGGACTCAGGCGTCCCAGGTCCAATTCCGGCCAAGGGCACGTGCCCTGGGCTGCAGGCTCGGTCCCCAGCCCGGGTCAGAGCACGTGCGGGAGGCAACCAATCGATGTCTCTCTCTCACATCAATGTTTCTCTCTCTCTCTGTCTCTCTGTCTCTCCCTTCCACTCTCTCTGAAAAAGCAATGGGAAAGAATATCCTCGGGTGAGAATTAAATAGTTAAGGTGGTAAATTTTGTTAGTCATTTTTAACCACATAAAAAAACATATGCTTGAGATGTCAGAAAATTTTGTTAAAAATTAATATATTGGATGTGTGATTTTTTTTTTTCTCTAGAATGAGAGTTGCCTGGTTTCCAGAGGGATCTCTCTCATAACTGTAAGTCAGATAATTAAAGGTTTCAGCCCATTTTATGAGTTTATACCATTGACATCTCATTATTTTTTCTTCTAGAATGGGAGTTGCCTGGCATCCAGAAAGGCCTCTTTTATGACGGTGAGACACAGAACTTTTTCCTCAAATACAACAGGGAGGAGAGGGGCAGGGAAACGTTTCTAGCCTATCTCAATGGTTTCTTCCCCATTTTGTCATATTGCCCAGACCCTGTGCCTCAGTAGTCTCTATGAGGACTTGAAGATGTACCAGGTAGAGTTCAAGGCCATAAATGCAAAGCTTCTGATGGATCCTAAGAGGCAGATCACTCTGGATCAAAACATGCTGGCAGCTATTGATGAGCTGATGCAGGTGAGGCCTTCATCCTATCAGTGAGGGCACCGTCTTTATGCTGAGACAGCCAGCCAGGGTCCCTGATGGAGAGGTATATGGTCAGCCCACCCTTCCCGGACTGGGAGAGGCCAGAAATCCCTCCTTCTAAAGCCCCTGCAGAGCTATAATCTTGAGGGTGTCCTCTAGAGAAAGAGCAAACACAGGCAGGTCACATTTAGAAAAGCAGCCACCTGTTTGTTGACCACATGGCATGAACCAGGCTCTCTGCAAACGTTTTCATACATTTCCTTACGTTGTCCTCACAGCAACCACATGGGGTCTGTACAAGGGAGGAAACCGGAGCTTAGAGAGTTAGCCACTTGTCCGAGATCCTACAGCTTGCAAGTGGCAGAGCCAGGATTTAAGCCCCCACCAAAGGGATTGCACTGTGCTTCTTAACTCACTTCCAAAAGCTCCAGGATGTGTATGTGAGGGGCCAGCAGGCAAACCTGCAAACACTGCCAGAGAAAACAAGCAGGGCTAGTGCCTGGGTCTGACCCATTCTCAACCAAAGTGTGAATGAAATAAAAGAATGACCTATCACCCGGGGATAGCCACAGTGTTACTCATAGGCAAGAACTTGCTTTGTAATTTCTCAATCATCATAGCACACGATGCTAATACGACACAGAGAAATATTCACACAAGAAAGAGCAGGGTGAGTGCCTTGGTGACCAGGGCATGGGATAAAAATACAGTGTCAGAAACCACTGTCTGAAAAAGAATCTTTTTCTTTCATTCTTTCGCCAAATTACTTGCTTGAAAGGCACTGAATGTCATGCAAGTATCAACAAATGTTACCATCTACAGAATTGTAGATAATAATTTCAGTTTCAGGACAGAGTCAGGTGATTTGGGCACTGGAATAATTTCTACCAATAACCAGACAACTATACTCAAGCCATTGGCTCCCCCTTTCCCTCAGTTTCTCCTTCTGTAAAGTGGGAGGACTTGACCCACCCTACCTTTCTTTTAGGCATTTTCTCAGGAACAAGTGGAATTATCGATCATTGTGCAAATAGAAGGTCTTGCTTTGAGCTATCAAATCAAAGGGCTAAAACTGGGAGATCCATTGCCAGGTTTATTTGACACAAATGAGTTTCTGTAGTAAACAGATCTGTTACTGATAGTTTTGGTCAATAGCAGTCCATCACCTCCCTGCTCTAAAAAGGGCTTCGCTTCCTAATGCAACATTTATGGATTAATTAGATATTGCAGCAGATGTCATCTTCAAGGAATCGTTCCTTTCTAAAATGCAACTTCTGACGATTCCGAAACAGCTTTCAGGGTCTCTCCCGAGCTCACTGAAGATCCATGTGCTTGGATAATGAGAATTTCTCTCGGGCTCTGCCTGGCCATCTAGCTGGGAGTAGACCGGGCTGCGTTGAGATGTAATGAGCGTGTGGGTTGCGGGCTCTGAGACGTGCTGGCTTCCCCCACATTTATGGGTGAATGTCTTAATTTTGGAATACCGCATGTGTCACGCTCACTGTCTGTTCTTCTAGGCCCTGAATTTCAACAGTGAGGCTGTGCCACAGAAACCCTCCCTTGAAGAGCTGGATTTTTATAAGACAAAAGTCAAGCTCTGCATTCTCCTTCATGCTTTCAGAATCCGTGCAGTGACCATCGATCGAATGATGAGCTATCTGAGTTCTTCCTAAAAAGCTGGGGTCTCTCCCAGCTTTAAAGTCATTTTTATAAAAATCGGAACCAAAGAAATTTTTATAGGCTGTGCAGGAGGTGGTGGCTTGACCTAATCCTACTTAAGCTAGTAATTTTCATGTTGTTTACATTAGTCACCACCCAAAAGTTGAACATGTGACAACTCTATTTAAATGATTCCTTTCATGACGTATATTCCACATTTACTATGGCTAAGTTGTTTTTAAAGTTTTCATGAGCAAATTGCTAAGGATGGAAATTTTCTTCACTATTTTTTTTTTCAGAACAAGAATTGATAAGCTATTTCTATTTCTATTTCTATATCAAAGTGTTTGTCGAAACACTCCAGCATAATTTATTTTAAAATATTTATTTATATAATTTTGTGTTCATGAAGGCATGTGAACTTATATTTATTTATGTTCTATTTATTAAAGTATTTATTTTCAAATGGATGAGAAATACCTTATGTTGTTCTAAAAATAAAATGATGGAATTAAAAGTAACTTTCACATTTTTCTAATGTAATTGGAATACTTTAAGTGTTAGAATACACATTGTAGGGAAACGGAAAACGCTGATGAAATTTGAACAAAATTACCTTGTAAAGATTGCCACAATATTCTTACCCATTTCCTAATGACTTTAATCTACTTTAAAGGGAGCCTGGTAAGGCAAGATACCTTTTAATGCTGAGGTCCTCGAGTGAGTCACTTTATTTTTGTTCAACATCTGAATCTAAAATACAGGGGAATGCTTATCCCTGTTAGCCACAGCCCCGTAACATACTGTGCATTAGACAAATACATAACAATATCCTCCAACTGGGAAAAACATCATTAAGAGGCCTTCTAGTTAAATTATTCTAATTTTCATGACCCTTTGGGCCCTTAGGGGGAGGTTGTTTCTAAATTACAATGAGAAAAACTGTCCATTTGCCTTAAATTATATAGAATGTCTGCCTGAACCACATGGATAATTGCCTTGCTTTGGCTTAAGGGAGGTGCTCTTAATGACCCAACTACTAAAGCCCATCTTTTTAATTCTCTAAACCATGTGAATTTTAAAAGATTCACTTGACGGAATAACAGGTCATTTTAGACTGATAATCATACTCCTCCTTAATCTGAAAAGCCCCTAGGAAACCAACTCTTTAGAGGGGGGCCCCCTTCCTCATGTGAATCCTATCAGATCCAATTCATATCCCTGTGAACTGTGAGGGGGATGTGTTTGGCCACCCCAGGTCCTCATCTGTGTGGCACATACTCATTTCTCAGATTCTCACCCCACTTGATGGAAATTGTTGGAAGCCAGACCCCATCACATATGTCTTTTTCTTTAGGGATCCCTCCGTAAGCTGGAGTGACCCTCAAGTGACTCACAGACAGGAGTTTCTTGTCTTTAAGTGCAGGGTCTGGGGGTTCAGCAGCTTTGATTGTGGAAAGGGCTTGATGGGGCTGGGACTGCAGACTCCTCACATGGGATGGTGATTTATCTCATCTGTGCCCAGAACAAGGAGAGGCAAGCAGATCGTCCGTCCCGTGGACTGGTTTATACAGATGAATGCAGGGGTTAGTTTGGTTTCGGAAAAGGACCGTGACATACGCTTCAAAAACATGTTGGCCAAGAGACATCTTCACAACTAATCCCATTCTTCATGGCGTGGTCCATTTTCCACTTTTTTCTCTACGCCTGGGTCTGCGATTTCTAAGTTACAGAACAGGACTATGTTTTAACTTCTCCCTGTTTCTAGTTCCAAGAATTGAAGATAATACTAGAACCTGCTTCAGAGATCAGTGTGAGGGTGCAATGGAACAACTCATGCCAAGCACTAGCACCGGCCTGGCACGTAATACATATGCAATAAATGTGAGCAATTTTTGAAAATTATTGCTAGTCTTTGGGCTTGGCAACCGGGCCAAATTGGCTGAAGCCTCTTTGCTACTATTATCTGTGAAATTCAAAACACTGTAGCCCCTCCCTATTTCCCAGTGCTATTGTGAGGATGAAATAACACTGTATGGTGCTGGCATCTGGTCAGTTCTCAACATCGACTGCTTTAAATTGTCAGATTGTTTGCTTAAAGACCTGAGTGCCGGGGACGCCTCTCCACGGCATATTGAGGGTGTTGATAGGAGGCAGTTTGCTGCAAGATACCACAGCAAAAAGCAGAGACCTGGCCTTCACAGAACAAAGGGTGGGGAGCAAAGTAATTTAGTTTTTTTAGGTCTGTTAGAAATTCGTTTACCAGATTATTTTTTAAATGTAAATAAACAGTGACAGTGTTTCTCACACATGAGAATGACGTAATCAGAAAATTAACATGAAAACCAGCTGACAGCTGCCCCAACCAAGGGCCCGGAGCTTTGGGGAACAGGGACAGTTCTGGGGAGCGAGCCAGCCAGACATCCAAAGGTGGGTAATGGGCCACTCAAGAGATGCAAAAGGCCTTAGACACCCTGAGGAGGAAAGAAAACAAAGGAACAAAAAGGGAAGGCAGCTTGGTCAGAGGCTGTGTGTCTCCCTGGGCCAGTGGTGACCGTTTGAGGACTACGCATCTGGTGGTACAGCATACTTCTGGCTTCCTAGTTCAAGGCAAAGTGCATTACAATATTGCTACAGACCGAATGTTTGGGTGCTCCTAAAATTCATATGTGGCAGCCCTGACCCCCAAGTCGATGGTATTTGGAGGTGGGGACTTTAGAAAGTTAGTTCACTCATAAACATGGAGTCTCTGTGGTGGATTAATGCCCTTATTAGGAGATACGCAGAGAGATCCACCCCACCCACTGCCATGTGAGGACAGTGACACAGTGGCAGTCTGCACACCAGGAGTGTCCAGCCTGTGCACACAACCAATGTTCCCTTTAGCCTCCCCTATTAAGGTCACAGTAAGTCATGGGACACTTTCATCATAACCGTACAAGCATCATCATGTTTTTTATGCATCTCCTCTCGCCCTCACTACACTGTGAGAACCTCCATACAGGAAACGCCATGTTACACGTGGATTTGCGTCCTCCGGCCCTGGCGCTCAAACATGCTGGAAAGAGAAAGGCAAATCTTCGTGGGTTCCCATTTGTTCATTTCTTTTCTAATCTAGGAATAAATAAAGTCTTTACAGTCTTTAAAAATCAAATTATCCCCAATTTAAAAAACGTTAGAAATTATAAAATGCACAGGCTTGCTTGGTTCAAAACAATTATACATGCTGATATTGGGGGGGGGGTCTAAAATTCATAAGCCTGTTGATTTAAATAACTTACATATCTACCATCTGGGATTATGTGGTTACTGTCCTTCAGAAACAATGTGCCAACACACCACACGGGTAAACTGGAAAGTGACCACTTCCCCTTGCAGATATCTTAGAAACGAACTCCCAGACGGCAGTTTGAGAGGCCCTCTCAGTCATATCATCGGCTGGTTCCCACACTGCCCCACAGGAGAGGATCGGGGTGGGCAGGGCTCCTCAGTAACCCCTCAGGAGCCCCAGGGACTCACCCACCGCCCTGCCCGCCAGAGCAGGGCCACTTTCGAGTGCTTGGCCAGTGCAGGTTCCAGGTGAGGCTTCCTTTCACAAACGGCTCTACAGCTCAGGGAATGTTCAGCTCACTGAACTCGTCTAAGCTCCTCCCTGCAGTTAGGCTTTTACAAGGAACAAAACCATCTAAATTTCCCAACTTGCTCGACAGTAAAACACCGCTGTCAATGCAAAGCGTACCCCTTTCTATCTGTGCGACTAGTGCCGGGGTTCCTAGCGAGCAGCAAGGATGGGCTCCCCAGGAGAATGACGGCTGGCCACCTCCAGGCTGCCCGACTGGGGAACGACACCGTGACAGGGACAGACTGGATCCCAGTCCCCGGGAGGCCCAGGGCAGAGCTGGAGTCCCAGCGAAGAAGCCGGGAGAGCTGCAGAACCCCGAGCTCAGAATTCAACCCCAGGGCCTCTGTTTTAGTGTCAGCATCTACAGGGCCATTATCAGAAATGTTCAAACTCCGGTTGGAAAAGACGCAATCCCAGCAGTGACTCCCAGGTTACCCGGCTGGGACCGTGCCCTTCAGCCAGCAGCGCATCAACTCACCCGACGACTCCCGGCAACTGCTGAAACCAGCCCCCGCATGAGGACACATTGACACATCGGCAGTGACAGTGTCCTCTTTAGAAAACAGTGAAAACGGCTTCCACGTGACAAAGCAGGGGAGGAAACTTTTGCCCTAAAGCAATACAGTGAAATGAGTTCCAAACATGCAGAAAAATCCCATTAGAGAGCAGCACAGGTGAGGAACTAATACGAAACCACCTGGTTTATAATAAAAACATACCTTCCCATCGCCAGGGGTGGAGAGGAAACTCTCAAGCATTCCTGGAGTGAGACCTATGCGAACTCCGGGTGCACTAGTCTTCCTGGGGTTACACTCACTTCAGCCTCAGTCCAAGAACTGGGCCACTGGGCCCAAAGCCAACCAACACCCAGTCGAGGTCACAGCAAGTAAACACGAACACAAAGAAGCTACATTTGCACGGTACAAATGCAGGTTTATTTTCCTTCCCTTCATTCATAGCATGAAAGAGGTTGAAAATTGTTAGGAAACCAGCTTATATACAAAGCACCTCTGAAATTATACTTTTCTTTGAAAAACAACATATAAAAAATAATAAACATTTAAAAAGTCAAGTCCTTAAAGTAGTTTACACTTCTGAATGTTAAAACACCACGTGTTTCCTAAAATATAGTACAATTTAAAAAAAAACAACTCATTGAAGTGACACTGATTTGAATTCCACAGGATCCTGGACAATTAAAAATACGTTATTTTTTATAAAGTAAATTTGTTCTTCACAGGCAAAACAACAGTTAAGTGTGTTTCTCTGGTTAATTCATTGAGATTTATTTTACTTTCCAGCTAATGACTGAAGACTAATGGCAATTTATAGTGTCTTCAAATAAGTTAACAAAACATATTCAAAATGTTAATCACCACAGGCATGATTCTGGGAGAGTGACAGTATCTATACATACAAAAAACAAACAAAAAACATCTCACCAATTATCAAGAGCCAATGTGACCCATTAATAATTCCCTGGGGCAAGTCTTCTTCAAGAAGAGATGACCGTTTTCCCTTGGTCCTGCTAAGGCTACCCTCCCCACCCGGGAAGTAAATGATCCTAGGGTGAAAGTCAAGAAATGTAGTGTTTGGCCCGGTGATTTCAGAAGGTTGGTGAAAATTGCAGCAACTCTGATAATGGACCCAGTTGAACTTGTCCAGTAAGGTGAGGAAACCAACTGTGATCAAGCTCATCAACACTGAGATGGGAGAGGATTACATTCCTTTCTAATCCCTCTAGGACCAGGCAACATGACTGGTTTAACGGTTTAACAGACCACTAGCCAGACAAGATAGTCCTGTGAGATACAGAAATTATATCCCACATAAAGAGATGCATTGTACCCAGAGGTACAGTGTGTCTCTCTGTGTGGAAGCTGAAAGAACAGGAACCTCTTTTCATTATTAATGTCAATATGATAGAAGCTAAACTAAATCCATACAAGTACACCACTATTTAATTGCAAAAAATGTTTCAAACACTTGGTAAGAATTTCATAGTCCACACTACTCCAAAAAGAATATTACCACATTTCTCACCTGAGTTGAGTCATTTTATATTCATTTGGGTGGCGGAGCTGGTGGGATGGTGTGAGCAAGAGGTGCCAAAAAAGAAAAAAAATATTGATATTATAAAGGTGTTTTCTTCCTCAAGTTTTCCAAAATTTTACATTCTCTTTGTCCATGGATAGTGTGGGCTACAGAGTGACTGGCTGTAGAGAAGGTGCTTCCAGAGACTGTGAAGTTCAAGATCTCATTAAGTCTATACCCAATGACCAGGTGAAATGGTGTTTTGCAGATAAAAGTTCCTGAGGTTTCCTTTTGCAGTTCGTCTTCCAAATTTCATACTCCCTATAAGAAACCTGACAAAAGAGAGAATTAAACAAATTCAAAGATTCATTGTTGAGACAAAAAGAGGCAAGCATTGAAATAAAATCACTTGTCTAGTTAAAAAAGAAACTCCTGGGGGGGAAAAAAAGGAATTCCTGGAAGTTGCTGAGTTTTCCTGAGCTTAAGAGAAGCCACTGCAATTTAAAGGCTATGATTACAAGATACTAAAATATTCTAATATTGATAAAAATATAAAATTCAGCCAATTAACCAGGTATTTTGGCTACGGGAGGGCATAAAATAACGGTAAATTTGGGGGGATGTGGGTTTGTTTTTAACTCACAGAAGATTTTTTTTTTTTGGACTAATAAGTTTGTATGGTCCCTTCACTGCAAAAAATGTCACAAACTCTCTTGTATTTTTTTTATTTTTTTAATATATCTTTATTGATTTCAGAGAGAGGAAAGGAGAGGGAGAGAGAGAGAGAGAGAGAAATATCAATGATGAGAGAGTCATTGATTGAGCCCGCAACCCAGGCATGTGCCCTGACCGGGAATCGAACCCCGATCACCTGGATCCTAGGTTGACGCTCAACCGCTGAGCCATGCCTGACCGGGCATCCTCTTGTATTTCTAATGTATCAGCAAGTCAAGGGTCAATGAGGTCAGGAGCAGACAAAAAGGTAACAAAAAACCCACAAAATAAACCCGTTATAAGGGGCTTGAGAGAGATTTTCTGAGTCAGACACTGTGATATGTGGTTATCAGAGCACGATGTGGCCACTGCTGCATGCAAATGAGCAGATTTCCACATGTGGGCCTTCAAATTTACATAATTTCAACATATCCAAGCATAAGAATGAGAAATTTGATATTGAAACTTGTTTTCCTATTTGCTTGAGGCCTGTGCACCCAACGTCTACAGGGGGAGTTCAGCAGCCTTGCCCACCACCTCTGAAAGCATCCTGAGGGAGCACGGAGTGCTTTTACTTCCATATAAATTTCTGGGGTATTTACACACTTTTACATCCTTTTTGAAATAAAAAGTTAAGTAGCATGCCAAATAAACACCTCTCTCTGGCTTATATCGAGGGTTCTGAGAGGCAACGCTGCATTTGTTAACTACGATAACAATACCTAATAATCAAAGTTTGAATTGGTTTGACCTTGGATATAACAAAATCAAAACCACAAAAAAGAAGTGCTTAAAAACAAAGGAAGGAACCCTGTGGTTTTCTAGATTGAGACAAAAAACAACTCCCTTCGGCCTCTAGGGCTCTGCTTTTTTCCTTCCCCTTTGCCACTTGAGGTTCACTGGTGCCACCCCGTGGACTCCTCGAGCATTGCTTCAGTGCCGGGAAGGCCCAGCAGGCTCAGTGCTACCAGATGTCCCAAGTACCATGACATTCATATCTACTCCTTACTGAGCCTCACTACCGGCCTGAAGCTTTACATGCATGACCTGTTTTCATCCTTACAACGGACGAGTACATAGAAGTTTTTGCATCTGACAGATGGGAACAGAGAGGCTTAGAGTTAGGTTAAGAATTTGCTTAGTCACAAAGCTAGCCAGCACTCAAGCTGGGATCCGACCCTTCCTCTCAGTCCAAGCACAAATCATCATGACTCAGACTATGGCAGCCCACGAGCTTACTTCTGCATTTGCATAATAATCTGAACACAAGCTTATAAATAAACAAGCAACACATTCTCCAGCAGAAATTTGCTATTCACAAAGACATGGCTTGATTCCAAGTCAGTGGTTTAAGAAAATTTCAGGCTCACCTTCCAGCACATCTTGGACTTCAGCTGAGACATTTTTCAAGCAGTTATATAAATTCTGGACTGTGGCATTACTCTGCTGCTTTTCTTGCCACTTTTTCAGCATCCTAAACTTACAAATTGTAACATCATCTTCCTTCTCCCGGATAGCATCAATATCGCTGATGTCCAACTCCAGGCTGACAATGGCAATTTTTATCCAGTCCTTGCCCAACTTCCCAGCAAGGGTAATCAACTGAGCGTCTGTTAATAGGGCCTCTGCTCCACCTAAAAGCAGATGAGGAATTCAGTAGTTCCTCTCAACACGTCAATCATTTATAACCACTTACAATGACAATGTATTCTCCTTCTATTAAAAAGGATGCTATATTTGTAACTTTGTAACTGTTTTAAAATATATTTAAATCCCCCCCCCAAATCCCTGCTTTCCAAAATATCTTAAGGACTAACAGGAACTCTTATATTAAACTGGGGTATATTGTGCATAATAATTACACATGAGACTTTTACGAAGTGGCACAAATTAGATTGGAATAAAAAAAAATTCAGATACCAAAAATAATTGATGTGGCTCAAAAAGAAAAAGATACAGCTTTGCCCTTGCCCACTCTGTCTCTCTATCTAAATGTTAGCAAGAGCTCTGAACTGAAGTCTCCATTATGCCATCTCCCGGCATTAGGGGAAAAACATTCCACAGAAAAGTCACAGGATGGTATTTGTAATAGTATCTGTTGATCTCCAAGAAACTGTCATAATCTTAGAAGGGCATATAATTGCCAAAGCAAACCACTGGCCCCAAAGAAAGTATCAGCCCTATCGGTAAACTAGATATTCGGCGGTCGCTTTGTGCTACGCTGACGCCAAACTCACGGGCTGCAGGGTTTCGGGTAAGGACCCTCGAGGCACTACGAACACCGGAGAGAACATCAGCAGGGAGTGAGGAGTGAGAAAAATAGTTCCTGGGATGCAACACCTCTGCTCTAAGGACAACTTATTAATGTGAATCTCACATCTGTACCTGGTTTCCTCTCTAACTTTCTAGACTGAAGAACGGGCTCGTAAAGATGCCCGCGCCCTCTAGTGGTTTCCTGGCACACGGGCGACTGCTCCTGGCTCCCAGAACTGCCAATGAAAACTACTGCACATGGAAGTTCTCAAGGCCACCCCAAAACTCATTGTAGGAGACTCTCGGCCTAAATTTTAACAAGATCTCAAAGTAATTTTGTTAAGGTTGAGCGCTGATCCTATTTTGAAAAGCAATAGTGATATACTGAGTCTCAAACTACCAAGCTAGTGACTGGGTATCTCAAAGAATGTTACAGAAATACCTAAACGAACAAACAAAAAATCTTTACTAATTTGTTTAATTACATCCTACATTGTCAACTCCAAGAAGGTTGGAAATCCTTAATTTTTCTAGGTGTATTTGACCATTTTGATGCTATTTCTAGCTACTTGGTATTTGAGCTCATTTTAAATAGCCCAATAATTGCATGAAACAAGAAAAACGTGTCCTATAAATCAATTTAACACAAAACTATGTGCCACTCAGGGATAATGGATAATTTCTGAGGACCTAATGTACAGCACGGTGACTACAGTTAGTAATACCGCATTGTATATTTAAATTCTGCTGATCTTAAGTGGTCCTGCCACTAAAATAAACAGTAACTGTGAGGTGATGGATGCATTAACTGACTTGACTGGTAAATATTTCACAATGTGTATGTATACCAAATCATCATGTTGTACATTTTAGTATATACAATTTTATCTGTATATTGTATCTCAATAGCACTGGAAAAAATTGTATCTCAGTGTAATTAGGTTTAAAACATAATTCCAGAGCCTCACTTATTTTGGTGTTGACTTAATAAAAACGTTTCTAGTGATATACAGTGAAATCACATATATTTCATTCTCACAGCCTCCTGCTCTATAAACTGTAAAATATCTTATTTCACTTTATAGAATTTGTCTGCTTTTAGAGATTCACACCTTCTTACAGTAATAGTAAAAGGTATTTTGATGAAAGGGTTAATTTGGAGAGTTACATGAGGTCCCCAAATGCTTGAGACCTTGCCTCATATAATTTGAGTCTGGATTTTTAAACTTAGATTTGTGAATTCTTGTTGGACTTGCATTTTGAGCCATGAAGAACTCCATCTCCTGGCTCCTTAGAGTGAGTATTGTTAAATGTTTTAAATCTCTACTATATTTTCACAACTACCGCGTCTTGGTCTCTGCCTTTTCATTGAAAGAAATTAGGTTGAGACCTGCCTCTAATAATTGAGCTGGAGGAGCTCCACTCAGAAGTAGCTAAGAAGCAATGAACCCACACATGGACATTCACAATTCCATTCATTCAAGCAACGCTCACTGTCTTCTACACAGGCTCCATGCTCAGTGCTATGGGAAATGTGCAGGTGGACAGGCTATGACCCTACCCCTGAGGACTGTAAGGGCCTCCCCCCCCCCGCAGGACTGCTGCGTGAAGGTGAGGAGTGGGGAATCAAGCTGGGAGAGCAGGCTGGGGCAGGCTGAGGAGGACCCTCATCCAGGCCTGAGGAGCTGGGACACAGGCGCGCACAGCTGGACGTGGCTCCTGGACGACCAACCCGAGTGTGTGTGTGATGGATGAATTTCGACGGGGGAGACCAGGGGAATGATTTATAGCCACTGAGGATATTGTTACAAACCTGAAGTGTCAACCTGCTTCATTCTCTTATCATAGACCTCCTCTTCAGGTAGGGTGCTACTTATTTTACGTCGCCTGCTACCTTAAAAAAAAAAAATCAACAAATTGGCTTTCCATTATGTTTATTACTTCAATCTGCATTTTTTTTTTAAAAATCATCATTCAGATTAAAACCAATTGAAAACAGATTCCAAGGTTGCTCAGATGATTAAGAGAGTTACAGAGCCTTAATGCGACCACCTCTGTGCAGAAAAATAAAAATCCCAGTGGGTGGGAGGAACGGAAGTGTGGATACGACTCGCTTAATGTCCAGTTACCAGCACTTACCACTTGTGCTACTTTTTGAAATGCTCTGACTCCGGTTATGTTGAACCCAGTCACCTGTTAAAGCACAATAAACATCACTTAGAAAAGACAGTATGAAATTAGAATTAAAGAAATCAATTTGTGAAAGTGTGTGAAGCTCTAGGGTCCTGGCAGCCTCTCTGAGGTTCACATATGAGTTTAGGGTTTCACTTGGTATGTGCGCAAATGCACTGGGCTTGAATTTTTAGATAAATAATGAACACTCCTCCTGACAGGTCTTGTAAGGCAAGTGTTTCCCAAACTCAAGCCCTCTACACACCACTGTCAAGGTTTCTGCCATACCCACACGTCAGGTGAAACGTTACTTACTCAGTATTTCTTTAAATCTACGACGACTGTAAATACAACAGTGGCATCACTTGCCCCATGGAGAAAGAAGCCATAAAAACAAACATTTTTAATTTTAAATGTAGTTATATGTACTCCACCAAAACAGTCTCACGTATGTTCCTTCTGTACTTTGGAGACCACTGCATTTGGGGTTCCTTCTGATCACTTTGTTGTGATTCACACCACCTTCCTTGTGTGAAATTCAGCCGCTGCTCTAGGAGGTGCTTATGTCTCACACAGGCCTTCTATAGGTCCCTTTAGTGAAGATGCCTTAATAGTGGTGACTAATCAATTAACCATTAGCTCAGCCAAAAAAATAATAAGAAAGACGAAATACATCTTACAAGGCAGTATCATTGTAGAAGTTTTTTAAAAAATCAAGAATCATGAGAGGTCTTACCAAGTGGTCTTTAAAACTACAGAGAGGCTATTCTTAGCCCAGAAGAGCGTCAGTTATACAGGTGGCTATGTGTTAACAGCAATATTGCTACAGCACTTGTGATTAACAAGTAACATCTTTCAGGTTCATTTATTTGAACAAATGAATGAACACCAAGAGAAACATACGATCCCCAACACAAGAATCCCAACCAGACTCTACAAGCAAGTAATTTTAGCTTGGATAAGGTCTGCTTCAGACTGGCTAACTTAAAGGGTATAATCTAGAGAATCAGAATCAATCGCATCTATTGAAAAGGCTCGTGCTTAAGCTAGGACTGAGAATTCCAAAATCATTAGATCAGGTCTCATTCTAAAGGCTAAAGACATGACAGGAAACACAGGCCCCACATATAACCCAACGGGCACAAAGAGATGAGCTGAGAAAGGACTCCAGTGCTGTTGAGATGGTGGAGAGATTTAGGAAACACTTCACAGGTCCTTGATGTTACCACACATGCACGGCCAAATAAAAATTCTGAAGGACAAAAGAAATAAAAGAGTGGGCTACAGCTCTTCTCATGTCCGGTGCTGGCACTGGCCACTCACGCTGCTTTTGAGGATACTGGAGTCAACATGGGACTACGTGGGATACTGGGAGAGAGTTAAGGTATCATAATCCAAAATGCAATTGATGCAAAGAAAATTTCTGTTACAAACATGTGGCACCGGCAGGAGGAAGCTCGGTGCCATGTGCACGTAAGGATGCTACAGCCACAGTGGTGAAAGACTGGCCCACAATCCCGCACGGAGCTGGCTAATTCCAGAGCTGGAGCTACAGACCACGTGACCTCACTCCCAAACCCACTGTTTCTGCCTCCCTTTTGGTGCCAAAATGTGGTCACTACTCACATGTCTGCTGCTCTAAAAACTCCCTTCAACTAGAATTGGAGGTCAAGCTCAGATGTGCCTGAGGAGGCGGCCAGGGACAGCTGTCTAGTGTCCCCTGAAATTCCCCTCTCCAGAGGGGATCCCCATGGGCTGCAGTCCTCCCCCACTTGTCCCAGAGCAGAAGAGGATGGTCTAGGTTGTCAGAGGGCTTCTCAGCACCAAAAAATTAAACAGGGTATGGGGGCCCACAGCAGAGCTGTCATCGCCCAGAGTGGGAGCCATCAGTTGAAGACCGAAGGGGCAGAATCAGCAAATGAGCCACACAGTCAGCCAAGATGCAGATCTGCATCCAGGTCCCAGAAGAGAATATCACAATACCCCTAATTCACATTAAAATATCTGAGATCTCAACCTCGGAGTGGTAAGAAAAAGCCAACTCTACCGTCCAACCCCTCCCACGCACACACGCACACTCACTGAGCCACCCACTGACTGCCAAGGGCTGGACATGGGAACCTAAGAACCAGAGCCCGCACCTCTGTCCCAGGAGCTGGGGCCTTTCCCTTCATCAGCTCTGTCAATGTTATGATGACGAGACAATTACTCTGTTTGCTTTCCCACCCCCACCACCCACAAACCAGGTTTCATTTAAGATACGAAACACTTACATTCTCTCAGTTTTGCTTTCCATACAATCTCGTCGGAATCCATTTCAACCAACAGTAATTTAAACTCCACTGGTTGCTCCAAATAAACTTCAACGTAACTTTTCAATTTTAAAAGTGAACCATCCACAAATTCAATTTCCTTTCAAAAAAAAGAAAAAGTGAACTTTTTAAAATGGAAAAGTTGTGTTCATTAATTGACAACATACAGTGTAAAATAACAGATGATGACAAGTAGATGGGTTCACGCTTGCTTAACGCTCACTGGCACCCTGACCTTGGAAATCCCACTCCTCAATCACACGCCCTTATTCTCTTGCTTCTAGCCCACGCCCACCCCCCATCCAACCCACCCCCTTACTCCAACTCCTTTTCTGCTTCATTTTCCTAAAGCTAACTTTTGAGCCCCTTCCTGATTTCATGTTTCCTGTTGCCAAACTAGACCGTGTGCTCACCCACTGGACGCCCTTTCGTTAAGCGCTCTTGAACTTCCTCTCCATGTTTTGCTAAGATCATTCTACAACCTGGAACAGGCTCAGCATGCACAGACTAGGCTGCGTGTTTTATCCACACTCCCTCACTGAACACCACTTTCCCCCACCAAATCCTCTTTTTGCTATTTTACAGGTAAAGAACCTCAGAGAAGCAAATTAACTTGCGCAACTTCACATCTAGGAAGTGGTGGAACTTAATGTGAATCCACACCTCCTGACGCCAAAGTGTGAGCTCTTAACCGCTACACAGACCGCCTCCTGCCTTCCACCTCCTCTGTTCCTCTCCAGGCTGCCTAGGGAGCCCAGAGGGAGAAATGCATCTTTTTTTTTAAAGTATAGGCGAACCTCTTCTATTGCACTTCCCAGATATTACGCTCTTTCCAAGCTGAAGGTTTTTGGCAACCCTACTAGAGCCATTTTCCCAGCAGCATTTGCTCACTTCGTGTCTCCGTGTCACATTTTGGAAATTCTCACAGTATTTCAGACTCCTTCATTATTATTATATTTGTAATGGTGATCTGCAATCATGATCTTTGATGTTGCTACTGTAATTGTTTTGGGGCATCACAAACTTAATCAGTAAATATTGTGTGTTCTGACTGCTCCAACAACTGGTTATTTCCCTATTTTTCTCCCTCTCCTCAGGCCACTCTACTCCCTGAGACACAACCATATTGAAATTAGGCCAATTAATAACCCAACAACGGCCACTCAGTGTTTGAGTGAAAGGAAGAGTGGTACATCTCTCACTTTCTTTAAATCAAAAGCTAGAAATGATTAAGCTTAGTGAGGAAGGCATGTCGAAAGCTGAGACAGGCCAAAAACTAGGCCTCTTGCGCCNTGTCTCCGTGTCACATTTTGGAAATTCTCACAGTATTTCAGACTCCTTCATTATTATTATATTTGTAATGGTGATCTGCAATCATGATCTTTGATGTTGCTACTGTAATTGTTTTGGGGCATCACAAACTTAATCAGTAAATATTGTGTGTTCTGACTGCTCCAACAACTGGTTATTTCCCTATTTTTCTCCCTCTCCTCAGGCCACTCTACTCCCTGAGACACAACCATATTGAAATTAGGCCAATTAATAACCCAACAACGGCCACTCAGTGTTTGAGTGAAAGGAAGAGTGGTACATATCTCACTTTCTTTAAATCAAAAGCTAGAAATGATTAAGCTTAGTGAGGAAGGCATGTCGAAAGCTGAGACAGGCCAAAAACTAGGCCTCTTGCGCCAAATGGTTAGCCAAGCTCTGAATGTAAAGGGAAAGTTCTTCAGGGAAATTTAATGCTACTTCAGTGAACACACGAATGCTAAGAAGGTGAAACAGCCTGGTGGTCTGGAGAGAAGATCAAAAACCAGCCACATCCTTAAGACAAAGCCTAATCCAGAGCAAGGCCCTGACGACTGTTCTATTCTATAAAGGCTGAGAGAGGCGAGGAAGCTGCAGAAGAAAAGTCTGAAGCTAGCAGAGGTTTAAGGGAAGAAGCCGTCTCCATAACATAAAAATGCAAGGTAAAGCAGCAAGAGCTGATGTAGAAGCTGCAGCAAGTGATCCAGAAGATCTAGCTTAGTTAATGAAGGTGGCTACACTAAACAATAGATTACAATGTAGACGAAAGGACTTTCATGGCTAGAGAGAAGTCAATACCCGGCTTCGAAGCTTCAGAGGACAGGCTGATTCTCTTGTTAGGGGCTAATGCAGCTGGTGACTGTAAGTTGAAGCCAATGTTCATTTACCATTCTAAAAATCCTAGGGTCGTTAAGAGTCATGCTAACTCTACCCTGCCTGTGCTCTAGAAATGGAACAACACAGTATAAATATCAGAACATCTGTTTACAACACAGCTTACTGAATATTTTAAGCCCACTGTTGAGGCCTACTGCTCAGGGAAAAAAAGATTACTTCAAAAACACTGCTGCTCACTGACAATGCACCTGGTCACTCAAGAGCTCTGATGGAGATATACAGTGAGATTAATGTTTCCATGACTACTAACACAACGTATATTCTACAGCCCATGGATCAAGGAGTAATTTCTACTTTCAAGTCTTACTACTTAAGAAATACAAGTTTATAAGGTTATAGTTGCATAGATAGTGATTCTTCTGATAGATCTGGACAAGATAAACTAAAAACTTTCTGGAAAAAATTGAACATTCTAGATGTCATTAACAACATTCATGATTCATGGTAAGAGATCAAAATATTAACATTAACAGGAGTTTGGAAGAAGTTCATCCCAACCCTCATGGATGACTATGAGGGTTTAAGACTTCAGTGGAGGAAGTAACTGCAGATGTGGTGGAAATAGCAAGAGAACTAGAATTAAACGTAGAGCCAGAAAATGTGACTGAATTGTTGTAATCTCATGATAAAACTTTAATGAATGAGGAGTTGGATGAGCAAAAAAAGTATTTTCTTGAGAAGGAATCTATTCCTGGTGAAGATGCTGTAAAGACTGTTTAAATAACAAAGGATTTAGAACATTACATAAATTTAGTTGGAAAAGCAGAGGTAGGGTTTGAGAGGACTGACTTCAATTCTGAAAGAAGTTCTACTGTGGGTAAAACGCTATCAAACAGCATTGCAATGGCATGCTACAGAGAAATCTTTCATGAAAGGAAGAATCAATCTATGTGGCAAACTTCACTGTTGTCTTATTTTTACAACGTGTCATGGGCACCCCCAACCTTCAGCAACTGCCACCCTGATCACTCAGCAGCCATCAACACTGAGGCAAGGCCCTCCACCAGAAAAACCATTTTGAGTCACTGATGGTTAGCATTTTTTAAGCAAGAAAATATTTTTTAATTAAGTATGTACATTTTTTTAGACATAATACTATTACACACTTAATACTGACTACAGCATAGTATCAACATAACTTTTATATGCATTGGAAAACCAAACCACTTATGACTCACTCTACTGCTATATTTACCTTATTGTGGCAGTCTGAAACACAACCCACAGTATCTCCAGTTTGCCTGTGCATCACTGAACTGCCTGGGCATTGCCATCATAAACCAATGGCCTTAACTGGTCCCATTCCCTTTCCATCCCAAATCACTAGCTTTATCCTCACAACCCTATAGGGTCACCAGGGCCTATAAAGCGTAGATATTGCCCTCCCCTGGCCCCACTCTTCCCAAAACCCTCTGTGTTCTGCTTTCCTGGAACTATCCCCATGCCGAGCCCAGTGGCACATCCCATCACCTCACTTAGGCACTACTGTGCCCTCTTCCAGTGATTCCCTCACCCTCCAAACCCAGAACAAATGTCAACACATGGGAACCTTCCTGAAAACCCACTGCACTTTGTACTCAACTCGATGGTGATACCACATTATGTGAAAGTTATTTCTTTACAGCAGGGGTAGGAAATATCCGGCCCGCAGGCCGTATTATTTGGTCTGGCCCTGCCAAGGCAACTGCAGGCAGGAATCAAAATTCAATAAATCTAGTTTTTTTCATACAATAATTTTGTATGGCCCAAGAATGATGTTATATACAGATAGCCCTTGGCAGAAAAAAGGCTCCCCACCCCTGTTTTTCAGGAATGCAGTAATTCTCCCTCTACACTGGCATCTTTGGAGGGAAAAGCTCATGACTTTCTGGCTTTTTAATTTTTAGCTCTTATCCCAGGACTATTGACAATAGGCACTTTTCTTTTTTAAAATATATATTTTTCAACATATCTTTATTGATTTCAGAGAGGAAAGGAGAGAGAGAGATAGAAATATCAATGATAAAAGTCACTGATCGGCTGCCTCCTGAATGCTCCCTACTGGGGATCGAGTCCGCAACCCGGGCATGTGCCCTCACCTAGAATTGAACCACGATCTCACAGATCATAGGTCGATGCTCAACCGCTGAGCCACGCCGGCCAGGCGGCAATGGGCACTTTTCATAAATGTCAGTTGAATAAATCATTAATGGTATAAAACTAATAAGAACACTTTCGATTTACACAGAGTTTTACAAATTTCAGAGTGCCCCTAAACTACTTATATGACCCTTTGAGTAATCCTGGGAGATTATCCCCATTTTAAATGCCAGAAATTTGGTTAAGAGAGCATGCCCAATTAATTAGTGACAGAACTAGGCTATTTAAAGTCCTCTAGCTGCCACCATCTTTGTAAGAAAAACCTCTTGGGACCATCCCAGGATCCTTCTAGGCAGATTCACGCATTCACTATGTATTATTCCCTCTCTCCGTGGTAACCTTGGCAGCACATCACAGTCACCTTGAGAGCTTCAATAAGCCCTATGTCCAGGCCATTCCTGGAGCAATTAAGTCAGTATCTCTGGAGGTGAGACCAGGCCACAGGCTTCTTTAGAGCTCCTCAGGGACTCCATTATGCAGCAAAGGCCAAGATCGCGGTCCTAAGTAAACTCTTCAAATCAAATTCCACCTCCCAGACAAGGCTGCAACTTGCTTCTTATGATTGTCAATTGTACTGTCTAGGGCTTGATCAGCTTAGAAGGGCTGAGTTTCAATCTTTCAGAATCAGTGATAAGACCACGGCATTAGGAGCCAAGGGCAGATGGGGCTCGGGGCCGGCTCTCCTGCTGCCCAGATGTGTGGCTTGATCACCTGCCTGCTTTGCACAACTCAGCCATTACAAGAAACTGAAATCACTTACAAATGCCATGGTGTATACAGCAAATAGTTTAAATCTAAATGGTAATATATTCCCATAACTATCTTTCAAATGCCTTCCAGTAAAAAAAGCCCAAAATCCCGTTAGCGATTCCTTTCCATTAACCTTAAATGCTCTGTCACTTCAAATAAAACTTGAGGTTTTCATTCCTTTGACGCCAACATTGTTGGAAGAATTTAATAAAACATCCAAGAAAATTTAAAACCTTTTAAAAGGGAAAGTGACTGGCTAGTCTATCTTTGAAATGGCTGCAGACTAATCCTTAAATTCAAAGCATCTTTGGAATAAGCTACAAGATTAGCAAAATAACTATTTTCTTATAAATAGGACATAAAAAATAAGAACAGAATGGATTCCTTTGAAACCTTCAAAATACCATGGCTAAGAAATATACATCCCTGCTGCTACTCCAAGTTGGTTTTTAAAAGATATACCTCGGGGGTGATGTCGGCTTCTGGTTCACTGACCAGTCTGTATTTCTTCCCATTCTGCAGTAACTTCTGGCAAACAGGAGGCTTGTCGATTTTCATGAATTTCTTAGAAGAGTGCTTTACAGACTTGGAAATGTCCTAAAGATGGAAATAGGTTTTGGTTGTGAAATGCACCAACAATTGTAAGAGCTATAAGAGACCCAGGCGTGCAGCTCCAGGCTGCAGGATCTTCATTTCCTCCTCCAAAGTGACAGCACGAATAACTCCCACAGTGCTCTCAAAAAAATGCTGCAGAGGCCCAGGCACCTTCGATGTGCACCACAGGCTCCTAAGTCTCCAAACATCCTTCTGCAAAAGCTCTACAGCCAAAAGCAACACAGGTAGCTTGCGGGGTACCAAAGATTTGCTTCTGAAGGATTTGAGAAAATCAAGTTAGCACTAGCATTAGACACTTGTACTAATTACACGCCCACCATAGGAATGGAAAGCAACTATTTTATTAGACTGGGTTCCAGTTTACTCAGTTTGCTTCTACCCAGCACTTTGTTTCCATCCTGACTGTCACAACAATCTCTCTAGCACGGCCCTGGAGAGGACACTGATTTTGCATGGATTGTTCGAATGGCCCAAAGAGGTTAAGGTAACCTTTGGCACAGGTTCTCTTGGTAAGGCAGCTGTACAACTGACATGAAATATAGGTTTCCTGCAGGCAAAGTTCAAGGAAATCTTTTCCTACATAGGAAAAAAATCAAGCCAAGAAGAATATAAGCATCAAAGAGTAGCCAGGAAGGACTTCCTACCTTCACTGTGCCCTGCTCCCTATTGTTCTAGTGGCACCTCCTCTCTGTCTGCTGACACAAGGGCTCCTTACCCAGCTTCCCAGAAAGCACGAATAATGCTCTTTGAATGAATTTTACTTTTAAAAATATAAAGTACTTATTCCAAAGCTATGCTAATTATACGTTAGATGGGATTGTTTTTATACATTTTGAAGATGAGCTTCCCAATTGAACGTGTTCTCTTTAATGAGATTACAGGAAGCAGATTTTACCTAAAAGCCTATTACTTACTATGAAGTGTTTCAACTTTCATATATATTGCTAATTATAACCAGTATAACTTTTTAAAGTCGAGGAAATACTACAGCCTAAACCATTGGGAGTAGATAGTTTGACGTAAGTTCTGTAACTTTAACTAGAACTCATCAATTAGCACACTTTAGATCTAATGCTTATTTTTTTTGTTTTTGGATTTTTTTAATGCTCATATTTTTAACTATGTCAAACCCTGATCTAAAACCTGGAAGTATAATTCTGAGTCACTGCTTTGTTCATTTGTTCTCCACCCACCTCTAAGCCATTTCCAGTGTGCTGACAATGGCTAAAAGCAGGAAAGGAGAGTCAGTGACTATTCTAATCTATTCGGGAGTTCAGAAAATGGGCTGAATATCACAGCCTGATTCTACATACTGCAAAACTGAACCATTATGAACATCCAAACCCCTCCTCTTCCCTCAACAATAAGTGATTCATGAATATTTGCTACTATAAAACCCACAATGTTGAGCCCATGAACCATAGGTCAATTTTTATCCAAAACATTGCTCTGAATCAAATGAGTTAACCTGGGATGCCCATCTTATCTGAGGAGCAATAGGACAATGGGAAATCTCAAGTTACCCTATACTTCACCCAAAGACTTTAAATGTCTCCCCAATGTACTCTGGAACAGGTACCTCTCACACTCTAAAATAAGCACGAGTCCCCTGGGAATCCTGCCAAGCGCAGGTTCCGATTCTGTAGGTCTGGGGTGGGGCTGAGAGTGTGCTAAAATTCTAACAAGTTCCCCAGCGGATGCCGATGGTCTTGGTCCCCTGGTCCCCAGACCACATCTTGAGTAGCAATGCTGCAGAAAAGCAGCTGGCCTCGGCTGTCCAACAGACAACCCTCTCCAAGGCCAGGCCTGCGTGCCTGGGCCAACCCCACCCCTGGAGAGCCACTTCCCCAACTGCTGTCTTCTTGATGTACAGGCAACCATACTCTGTGGATTTGAGGACTCAGGCACACCTAGGCACTAACATTATAACCTCTGGGGGTAAGTGCCAAATTAGACCCAAGGGGGGGTACTTAAAAGGAACAGGACCCAGACCTAAATGTGGTGTAATGTCTGAACACAAAGTACTCAACGTTTATTATTCATTTTTATTGGCTTTACCTTGATGAAGGACTCGTTATTGGTCGCTATGTACACGCGAAAAGACAAGGATGGATTATGGTCGATGACTTTGTACAGAATCACAGCCCCGTGGTGGTACAATGTCTCTTCGCTTTGAATAACAGGTCCCACAGGAGAAAGAGAGCTCACGTGCCATTTGACATGGGTTGGAGAATGATCCACAGTACCTTCTAACGAGGCGCTGGAATTTTTTATATGTAAGACTCTGAATGTCATATTGGCATCATGGCCTGTTAAAATATGAAGGTAAATGAGTGTTCCGGGTGTTATAATATTGCACACATACACACTATCATTAAAATTACAGCAAACAAGTACTTACGACCCAAGCAGAGGGAATGTGGAAACTGAATGGACGTAAGACAGGCTGGGTCACATTTAACATCAAACAAGGGTCCCCCAACAGCCCAGGGCTTGACAACCAGGTCTGCGTATTTGCTCCAGGACAAAATGCAATACTTGATGTTAACTTTTCTGTTAACCTCAAAGATCAGACCAGTTTTCGTGCACTCGTAAACTCCCTCCATGTCCACCATCAGTCTGCGTTGGAAAGATAAGAACACCTGTTTAGTCCTAATGTTTGGTTAGGAGAGGACTTCTTAAAACTATTTATGTTTTCAATTTCATTCAAAAGCATTAAAGAAACTCTGTAGCATTCTGAAGAAGCATCATTACCAAAGAAAATAATCCAAGTAATTACATACAATGTGTGAAATTAGTTATGCTATCTTCTGTCTCCCCTAATTGGGATTATGTTTACGCAGAAAATTAAATTACCGATGATACTAAGTCTCCTGTATTCACAATTACTTACAAAAACTGTCCCCCGGAAAGGAGTCTAGGGGTCACTTGCTCGTGGTGTTTCTGGAGAAAAAGTACATATGAAATATATATAAGCAATAGATTAAGTAAATGTTTTCTTAAATAAGAGAATAATATTTTATAATAAAAAGATACTTACATTTTCAGCATGACAGTGTTCACAGTGAGGTTCAATTTTAATTAATTCTAAATAATAGAGACAAAGTTTTACTTATATGAATGTGATTGGCATTTTCAAATTTAAAATTTTAAACAATATATGTGATATGCCCAGATTATAAAATTCAAAGGTATATATGCCCCTCTGCAATAATGATATTTAAAAGACTGTTTTGGAAAACCTAAGTTCATACCTGAATTAAAATGATCTCTGGGCGATTCTCTATCCCCTCGTTCTTTAGCTGTAAAAGATATCATCACTCGTGTTGGCACACGTCAATCACAGGGTAAATCACCTACTACTCAAACACACCTTCAGCTTCACAACCAACAGGAACTCTAAACTTGTATTTAAACCTCTCTGAGAGCTGACTCAGGTGCACATGGCACGTTAACCCATTTGTGAATCCCACTGTGGGTCTAACGCATGAAAATGTTTGAGTGTGACTCAAGCTTCAGCGCACCCCACTTGGGCACGTCTTTATTGGGTGCTCTCACACAGCAGCCACTGTTCCCGTCATCCTGCAACTGGACCCACAAATCCTCCTGACAGCACGGCATGGGGAGAACGGGGTGAATCGAGCAAATAAGAGGGCGAGCCCAGCGCCTGGCCTTACCCGGAGTGGAAGCGCCCTCGCCGCGAGGCTCTCCCAGCTCCCCATCTGCGGAGACAAGAAGGGCTTAGGGCCTGGTGCTCGCAAGCACCCTCCTTGCCGACCAGCTCACCAGGAGCGCTGCTCGTCCCCAAGGCTGACCCGGAGTCAGGAACTGAGCAGGAGTCCTTATTGTTGAAAGTTTTACAGGTGTCCCCTCCCCACCCCACTCC